TATTTCATTTACATTTCAAATTTTTTTCATTTTATTTATTTTTAATTGTGGTAGGTAACTCCACTAATTCTCGATACCTAAGTTTTAAAAATTAATTTAAAAAACAAAAATCCAAAAGTTTTCTTGAAGCTTTCATTTTAGCTTTAATTGAAAGCTAAATGATTAAAAAGTAAATTTTTACTATTTCCAGTAAGCAAAATACTCAGGTGTATTTTCGTACAGTATCCATCAGTTAAAATGAAGTTGAAATTAAGGAAGTAATCTTAGGCTTTTTCCAACTTGAGGAAAAGGATGGCAGTAGTATTGCCTTCAAAGTTCTCGGTTTGTTAGAACAATATGGTCCATCCATTGAAGATTGTCGTAAGCAGTCTTATGATAATGCAGCTGTCATGACTGGATATAAAAACGGTGTCCAAAAGAAAATATTGAGCAATGTTTGTAAACTGTAAAAATCATAGTCTCAATTTAGCTTGTCATTATTCCTCTGCAGTAGATCCATGTGTTTCATGTTTTGGTGTCCTCGATAGACTGTTCGCGTTCTTTTCTGTTTCTTCATCAAAATGGGCAATACTGAAGCAATAAGTTCCTCAAACAATGAAACAAAAGTGTGAAACCAGATGGAGTGAAAGATACGATGCTGTGACTGCAGTGTACCAAAATGTAAACGAAATAATAATCATGAACATTTACAACTTGAAGAGTACAGTCAAGAAACAAAATGTGATTCTGGGATACTTATGAACTCATTTCAAAAATTTTTTTATCGCCCTACTTAATATCTGGCATCCAATTTTATGCTCTGTGGAGAGAGTCCAGAAGAGGATGCAAGCTCCTAATGTTGGGTTAAATCAAGCGGATCTGGACTTGCAATGATTGATCAATATACTGGTAATAAAAAAGGAAGAAATAATCAGTAATGCCTTGAACTCAGCTAAAAAATATTGCAAAGAAAATGAAATTCAAATTGAGCATCGCGGTAGAAGGAAAATATTAGGCCTGGAGAAGTTAGAGATGCTGCTTTAACAGTAAAGGAAGAGATGAAAATAGTAATGCATAAAGTTGTCAATCGTTTAGTCATTGAGATTCAAGAGAGAGACCAGCGTTTGGCAGAACTAAGAAAAAGATTTGAATTGCTTCTTAACCTGCAATTATTAGACACTGACGATGAAAATAAGAAAGCACGCCTTCGAAATGAATGTTTCGATTTTCAAAACCAGTATCCAGATGATATTGATAATGTTCTTTTATACAATGAAATGATAGATTTCATTTTGCTAATTCGAGCTGGAGGTAAAGAGGTACTATCTGATCCTCTTGATGTATTAAAGTGTATTATTAAATATGGCAAGAATTTTTGGTGAATTACCCATGGAATACAGACTGTTCCTAACAGTAGCAGTTTCCATTACTTCTTGTTTTCTAAAGATAAAATGATTAAAAATTATTTACGTTCAACAATGTCACGGGATAGACTAGCAAACTTGTCGCTTATAAATATTGAAAAACGATTTCTAATCGAAGAAAAGTTTTCGAAAAGAAATAAACGTGTGTTATCTGGTGTTCTTGGACAGAGGTATTAAATTCAATATTACGCAGGCTGATTTATAGAAAGCCAACAGTGTTTCCTTAACAAAAAGATGTGCTCATTTTTCTAAAAATTCGGCGCCAGAAAACAAAAAAATTTTTAAAGAATGAAATTTCTTTTTTCAGCCAATCAGACTTCTTTTAAGAAATAGTCTTGCAATTCCATTATGGATTTCCCTCCAAAATATTTAAGACTCCAGCCTCCAAGAATATAGTATTTTTTCCGCAAAGATTATTAATAAAAGCAAATAAACTATTTTAGAGCAAATGAAAATCACTAATTTGATAATTTCAGAAACCTGATTTTTTCTCATAAATAGAGAAAAAATAACCTCCCGTGTCAAACATGTTACACACACACACATACACACCCATTCACACACCATTCATCACATGACAAGTGCCAGAAGAAACGCCTTACGAATTTTTCTATTTGAATAATACAGAATCACATTGCTTGTTATTATTTTTCCAAAAAAGGAACTTCACTTTCTTTTGCCACTCAACTTTGAAATAAATAAATAAAACTTGTCCAATTTGTATAATGTGTTAATGTATCTTATTTAAACATTCCCTCTGATTGTGATAAATTTTTATGAACAATGGTTCTGTCCAAAAGAAAATAAACTAAGTATACTGTTGCATTTTGTTTGAGGTGGAGTAGGGGACGCCAGTTACAATCCTCGCCCCAGACGTCTGCCCGCCACTGCTCAGTGATGGAAGTATATTAAAAAGGCTTGGCTAGAATGTGCGCCTTTTGACAATTTTTCAGAAAAGGAAGATTATTCAGCGCATTAATGATTTATGTGTGAGAAGGAAAACAGTTAAGTTATGGGATACTTATGTTGGAAAGGAATACAGCTGAACAACTGACAAAAGGTTAGTCTTTATGTAATATTATTTTTCTATTTATATTGATGAAAGTACGGGCATTCCATTATCATCCACGCAAGCCATATGTTCTCAATTTTTTAGGGGTTATGAAGTATATAAATAGGTGGTTGTCTTCTAATACTACCTGCACGTACTACCGGGGCTGAAATATGTAAAGCAGCTGTGAACAAATTACCTATTCGACAATTTACAATTCAAATGTAGTTTCTGTTACAATAAATGGCATGATTTGTAAATTTGTTTGCAAAAGATGTTGGTCATCTACTGATAGGTTTTCATTGCATCATACATCAGCAAAAGCTGACCGAAAAGAACTTCAAATAGTGATGTAAGCAGTTACCAAGATTGTTAATTGTATTTCTGCCCGGGCTTTAAATAAAAGACAATTTCAATTTTTTCTGAAACAGGTAGAATCTGTATATAAAGGACTGAAAATGCATAACAATTTTCATGGGCTTAGCCTAGTTTTGATTCTGAAACGATTTGTTGAATACTAGGATGAGATAAAGCTCTTTTTGAATAACCAACACGAGCCCTACCAAGAATTGTCTGACATCATGTGAGGTTGAAAACTGATGTCTTTTTTTTAAAAGATTTTTGTGAACATTTAAATGACTTGAATATTAAAGCACAATGTTCTGGTAAGACACTTTAGTTATGTTTAGTTACATGAAGGCCTTTCAAATGAAACTAGAAGTTTTAAAGAGGCATGTAGATAATGAGAGATTTAGATACTTTACAAACATAAAGACATACATCAATGATTTCCCAAACGATGGCAAAACTAACTGCCAATGTTTTCAAAAGCAGTTTATAACCAACATTGAATCAACTGTTAAGCAGTATTTTTTACAAGATTTGCTACATACAGAGAACTGGAAGAGACAGTAGAATTCATTAAATTTTCCAGACAGTATCAAACTTGATGAACTAAAACGGCAAATGTTTTCATGGACAGACGTGGATGATTTTGAAATGAAATTGTTTGAATTTCAGAGTAGCTCAGTTTGGAAGCAGATATATGTCGACCTTAAAGTTGACTTGGAAAATATTAAAAGAAAATATTAAAAACTTCGTTTTCCGTATTTCCCTTTGATACTCCCATTTTTTATATTAAAATATTAAAATCGGAGTATCAAAGAGAAATGCGGAAAACGAAATATTAAGGAATAGGAATAACATTCCAGAAATTTTTGTCTGTTTTAAAAACCTTGAAACAGCATTACCATCTATGCTTTCATATGAATCTTTGTTCTCAGTGATGAACATTGTAAAGTTTCGTAACAGGAGTAGCCTGACGGATGAAACTAGCAGTGCATGGTTACTAAATATAAACACGATATAAAACCTTTGTCATCAGGGATGCAGCAGCAGAAGTAGCACTGATTACGTAAAAAGAGTCAACAAGTTTTCTCTCTCTATTTTTATCTGATGTTTTCTTGGGAAAATGGTAAAAGCTCACAACTATTTAAATGTAGTTTTGAAGGTAAATAAATATATATTTTTATATATAATTTATAATGGATTTAAAATCAGCAAAAGATTATTTTTAAGGACTTTTTTCTGTGTTTTAGTTATAAAAATGTATAACTGGAAAAAATGATGTATGATTAACCGAAAAAGATAAGTGTTAACTTTTTTGTGTTGATGCTATCAATAGTTAATAGTATCTTGAAATTGTGTGAGCGTGTATGGCAGGTACATTTGTACTTCGAGGCTAATAATAAATATTACAAAGACCTTTTTCGTAAAAACTTGTCATATTTTTTTTTCCATACAGTCAGTTTTATATGATTTACATACTTTTTTACAATATCATATCTTTAATGCTCTGATGTGATATCTTTTATCATTTAAAAATATTCTTCGCTTACTTAAGAAATATTAAAGAATATGTCCTCAATTTTTTTCTGCCACGTGGAAAAAATTTGTGTCACAGATTTGGCCGGTTTTAGTACGCAATCTCAAAAAGGTTTCTCACACGTGATCTAATATCTTGATTAAATGAAATTTAAAACGAGGAAGAGAGTTCCACAAGCGAAAAGTGAGTGAAAAAATAATTAGCATAAAATTTATAGTTACAGCATAATAGTACAATGATCTCATCATCACCCCCTACAATTTTAACTAAAGCTTTCTTCTCTTTTCCGTTACACCTCGAATTCTTGATTGGCGAATTTGAGTCACATTCGCTGCATATAATTGAAGAAGCGTTCATCCGCGGAGATTGTTTAAATGCTATTACGTAAGCTTTTGTTTATTTTACGCAGTACTTTTCCACTTGACTTCCATTAAAATCAAAATATTTTGTAGGGGCATCGACGGAAAGATATTCTCTTTTAAACGGATGTAGATAAAATAACAAAAGTGTTCAATGGCTTCCACAAGCAACTAACGTTCACTTGAGATTTCTGAACAATTTATCTCAAATTATTAAGAAAGAACACTCTCTGTGGCATCATTTTTCTTGTAAGTAAAGTTCTTTTTTAATTTACCCTTTTTTTACTCTTATATTTAACTTTATGATAATTCTTTTTATTTCCTGGTTCATTATCTATCTATCTATCTATCTATCTATCTATCTCACTCGTTTCATATCTATCGATTTATCTCGTTCGGTTCATATCTCTCTTTCTCTCTATCTCGTTCGTTTCATATCTATCTACCTTGAACGGTTTATATCTATCTATTTCTCTATCTACCTCTTTCGGTTGAAATCTACTTATCTCGTTCGGTTCATCTCTGACACTCCCTCCCTCCCTCCCTCCCTCCTTCCCTCCCTATCTATCTATCTATCTATCTATCTTCTCTGTCTGGAACTTATTTCTTTCGAAATAATTACAAAGTTTATTTTAAATGCCAAATATAATTTTTAAAATGAAAAAAAAAAAACCCAAAAAACTGTAATTCCGGTATAATATATAACAGCGCCAACATGACGATAACAAGATATATTCATTAGAATGTTAATTACGTAACAGCCAGTATATACTCAGCACCTAAAGATTTCGTTGTGCATGATGCTTCTAGGGGTGCTAGAGGTGAGGGATAATATATCGGAAATGTAAAGCTAGTAAAAAAGAAAGTCGTTTGCTTGCAACTGAGAATGTGTAAAACGGGACGTTTCGGGAACAAGTGGCAACAAGTCCGACATGAAAGTTAACTACAACGTTCAATGTATTGTAATGTAAGCAATGTTGTGAAGGAAACAGATGACAATAACACCGCTCGAACGAAAGTTTATGGAAATCAGAAAGACAAACTTTATTTTACAATAAAAAAGATCTCGAAATACACGAAAAGATGAAGAGTTGCATAAAAAGGCGATGCTTACACTTCAAGTACAATTAATTACAAACATTTATTCCATTACAAAGAGTAGAAGAGAAAAGAAGAGGAATTATTCTGATTGTGTTTATATTATTAATATTATATGTTATTAATTAAAATTATAACAGATTGAAACGACCTCTAGAGTAATGGATAGCGGTTCGGATTTAGGGATCAGAGAGCCGAGTTCGAATTCCAATGTATTCACTTACGTACTAATACCCTTGGGAAAGTTATGAATCATCATCTTCTCCCTCCAGCTATAGGTAAATAGCAGGACAGACCGGGTTCTATAGCGTTGGATGGCAGCTTGTCTACCGCAGAAGAAAATGGCAACCTACTGCGGGAAAAATCTGTCTCGTCAGTTATGTATCGAAAGATATATGATCGCCTAAGCGTGTATCACGCATGGAACATAACTAACTGATATGCATACAACAAATGCATTTTCTTCTTTAGAAACAGAAGACTGTTCTGGGTTTTGTTCTAATTCTGTTGTCATGACGACGCAGGCCTTCTCCTTGTTTACAGTATCAGTGAGTTTAAGGGGATGCCATTGCTCCCATTCGACCTAACTCTGTCTCTCTCTCTTTCTCTTTCTCTCTCTGCAGATCTCTGTCGGAACTCTCTCAGTCTTTTTCTGCTATTCTTTAGCCTCTTTCTATCTCCTCGAAATCGGCCGAAGTCATGCTTTTATGAATGTCTAGTTACAAGAGGAGCATATATGTGCAAGGCAAACAAATAAGACATGACTTCTTTATATTTAAGAAGTATAAGCAGACGGTAATAAGAAAACGTCTGCCAAATGTAACACTTTTACATTATTTTTTTTAATTTTGAGATAAAATACAGTGTATCAATAAAGTAAATGCGCATGCATAACAACAAAACTTTATATTTCTTACTTTTAATTTTAATTTCCAGTGAATATATTTTTTATTAATATATATTTAATAGCTCTTTTGCATTACATTGAGCACGTTTTTTTTTATTAACACCAGCAATATATATATATATATATATATATATATATATATATATATATAGATAGGTACCTCCACTTTTTCGGCATAAATTTTCGATACCTAAGGTTTAAAATGAATTTTTAAAAATGTAAAAGCATTCTTGAAGATTTAATAGCTTTAATTGAAAACTAAAGGATTAAATTTATTATTTCCCATGAATAAAATATTCTGGTGTATTTCAGCTAGAAATTATATAGATTGGAATGTCAAATTTCATTTCGATTGCTTAAAATTTTCGTAAAAGTGGGCATTTTCATAATGTATCGATTTTAAAACTCATTCAATACACACACACACACACACACACACACACACACACACATATATATATATATATATATATATATATATATATAATTCTGACACGTTATTTGAGTAAAATTATAAAATATAAAGTTAAATTAATCTGATTTGGAAGAATTATTATTTATAGCATTAAAAAGTTTAGTCTTGTTTATCTGAGGCAACGAATGATTGACGATTGTGACGAAGCGATGACAGCTAGTATGGCTGACTAGAATCGACATAAAGTTTACGAAATCTAATTTACCTGATTTTTGGGTTTTTAACTAACTAGCAATTTTTACAAATGAATATATTTTCCGTAATTAGCCAATAATTTATTGACTTTTCGAAGATGGTTTATGCAAAAATAAAAATTTAAAATGTTATAATATTTTCTTAGATTAATTTCTCCGTAAATAGACAAAATTCTTAGATTACGTGACCTTTTCATAATAATGTCACGTTTAACCTTTCGTAGATGAAAAAAGGAACAAATTAAATGAAAAAAAATAAAAATTTAAATAGAATAGTGTAACTACGTTTATTAATTTTTTTTTAAATTTTGTATTCGTAAATTTCGTTTCCACTTAATATATCACAGTCACCCAATACAGAATTTTACACGATTTAAAACTATTGTAAACGATTAAAATTTAAATTTAAACAAAGAAAATCTTGTAAAAATTCATTATTCAACGGAAAGAAATATTTCTTCAAACAATAGTGTCCTTAATATAACTTATTTACAAAATCAATTAAAAGCTTTTCTCATAAATTAATGTCATAGTTTTATTGCATTCATTATTTTTTTCAATTCAGAGCAGATTTTCAGTAAGAATAGTGCAAGTTTGAAAAAAGTAGGTAATTTACATTCCCCAAGGATTCCTACATTTAACGAATAAAAAATTCAGGAAATAGAAAGTTTTTTTCCGAAAATTCTTGAAATTAAGTAACATATGTAAAAAACAATATTTTTTATCAAAATTTTCAAAAATAATTTGTGAATAAGTCCTGAAAATTTCATTAAAATCAGACAATTATTTGACTTTTACAAGAATTTCCAAATCAATGTGTTTTCAATGGAAAAAAGCGCAAAAAAGTCAATGTAATTATCATGTCAACGCGATGACGTAAACGAAACAAGATTTTAACCAAAATTTCGAACGTTTTAGAAAGGATTTAAAAAATTCAAAAATAATCAAAAAATACTTTGGTCTTCCGTCTTGAAAATAACATAAATATTTTGACGATAAAACTTTATTTTTATTAAGTCTGTGGCATTTTTCATTACGCTATACTATTTTCCCCGAAAAAGTGGTGGTACCCGGCGTTTGCTAGGAAGATCTCTGAATAATAGTTTATTATTGACAATTTATTGATATTTTCAGCCATTTTATGGAAAATAAATATTTTGTTAATGATTTAAAACAAATTAAACTAGGTAAGAATTCATTAACATTTTTCAAATTATTTGTAAGCTGAAGCTTACTTAGTTAACAGCCTTCTTACTGATTTTCTTATGCGTCTTGATTACCGCGCGGGCTTTGCTTAATGTGCGAATTATAAAAAATAACCTAATAGGAAAACAGTATACCTGTTGTAAAAAAAATGAAGCTTTATTTTGTAATCTTTTTTATCACGAGTTTTTCTTTTTCTTTTTTTTCCTTAAATTATAATAAAAAAAAAACAACTTTTTTTTAAAAAAAGTAAATCATTCTTTATCTGTATCGGAACTAAAAAAAAACAATTGGTCGGAAAATACGTTTTTTTCCTCCACTCATTTTCCTCGCCGCATGAATTTATCTCAAGTAGGTGCGAATTTTACTTTATGTCCTCATCCTACGCCATCGACAGCCGTCGTAAACATAAATAGTACAGAAATTTTCAGTTCAGAGGAGAGAGACCCACCAGCAACTGAACTTCAACAACCGCGGCCAAAGAACGAACTCACTGATTCACGACATCGCCATGGTAACCAGAACAAAACCTGGGAACATCTCATATAAGTGACACCAGTTAAGTAAGGAAAAGCCACCATATGCACAGAACACTAATACCGTCCGTACACAACCGAAACACACACAGTCAATAAATACATACTGTTGTTTTAAAATAAATGTTATTTTTGATTTTTTTAAACCGATATTTGTCTTTGTTTCGAATTGTGGCTTCTATATGATAACTGTTGTACGTTTAAGGCTTCGATGCCGACCTGATGTTGCAAACCCTCAACATATCCTTTCAGGCACGTGCGCATTTTTATCAGGCGAAAAACACATTGTTTTGGAAATTTTTGCAAAAATCAAATAATTATCGCATTTTAAGGAAACATTCACATATTCAAAATATTACTCATTTTTTATTTAATTTTTCTTGTGTTCGAATAAGTATTTTTCTTTTCTGCATTTTTAGCCATTATCAAGGATAATTTTATTTTTGCTTTTTAACTAACTGTATGGCTTGTATATGTGTGGCACTATTTAGCTATGGTAATTGGCTAACTAATTAAGCATGGAAAATAAAAACGAGAAATACTTAAGGCGAGAAAGAGCTATAACGAAAGACATACCGAGCGACATTCTTTTTTTTAACAAGAGAAAAATTGGTAAAGATTTTATTTTCATTTACGAAGAAAGATTTTTTTTCGCAGAAGACAGAAAATTCGTAAGAGAAGCAGGTTTCGGATTCTATCAGAATTAATTAATGTCATGACGCGACAAGGAAAACAGAATTCTAAAAGATAAACAAAACTGGGCCAAGCATGCGCTTGAGAGGGAATTTCAGTGAGACCACCCTGAAAGAATAGCCACTAATTATCTTTCAGAGATATCATTTAGTTTTGCTTCTTGTGTCCCGCGAGGAGACCCATCTGTTGTATGCCCGGATCTTGACATGAGAAGATAGGGTCGAGAAGTTACTGCCTGTTCAAACTGTTAACGACAGACTTTCTGGCACCGAGAACGGGTATCTGGAAATGCGATAATATTGAGACGAGAAAGACAAAGAGATTTAGTCCCCAAATGAAGACGACCACCCAGTTAATATTTGACTAGCGGTAGTTAATGAGTCGGCGAAAATTCCGCTAATGAATTCCAGGTGACCCCAAGTTAAGATAAGAATTTAATGGCCACAATATGAGATTCATAAGAATTCTGGTCGATACAAAAGAAAGAAAGAAAAGGGAAGATAATTTTTTTTCCTTGGGCGATAATGTAAACTAATGCCAGTCTAGGCACACCCACACTGCCGAGCGTTCATTGGCTGAGTGATGGCGTGAGTGATGGACGAAGGTGAACATATGAGAAAGAATGGAAACTTGTTGACTCCCACTGAAGGGATTGGTATGAGATACCAATATGAGAAAGGAAGAGTTTAGGAGGATAATTCTCCTCCGACCTCTCCTCACAGAAGAGGGAGAACCCCTCTAAACAGAAAGTAATTGACTTCCAAAAATGGGAAGTGATAAATTTTCCTGTCCAAAGACAAAGACAATCCTTAGTGGAGATTTAGAATTATCGAATAACGCAAACCACGACAAGCCCCAACCCGGTTTTGGTCGGCGTCCATATAAATGAGAGAGTTTCAGAGACACAGTTTCAAAAAAAGTTCCAGAGAGCTATTGAGCTCGGAAACCAGCCTCGCAGGAGCTGACCGCAAGATTTCCACGCATTACGATTTAGACTTCTTGTGACGTCGTCCCCCACTGGACGCAGCGTCGACTGTGTCGTTCGATCCCGTTCGCGGCGCCAGCTGTTCGCTCCTCGCTGCTCCAAGTGTGACGTTCTAACCCTTTGGTTAGATGAATACCAGCCTCGTCATTCCCAACGCCTGGTTACCAGGGTAACTGCACTGATCTCCGGTCTGCCTACCCACGCTGTGATTAGATCTTAGACAGACGGGATCAAAAAGGGATTGGGCCGTATGCAAACTGAGTCCAACGGGGTGATAACACACAAGAAAAATAAAAACTCACAATGTCAAAAATATTGAAGAAAAAGGTAACAACTTTTTATATCTAATTGCTCGTTACACAAGATTATTGCTACCTCCCGACCCGTTCTGTGGACTGTGGCACCACGCTTCTACCAGGCAACTTTAAGGCTTCGAGTTGCCTGCTCTCTAGAAATTTGCATTTCGGGGTGTGGTTTGGTTTCAACACGGGGCGATCATCTCTGCTTGTCGTTCACGGCTGATCTCTCTCGCCGTCCGCGGCGCAAAAAACTCTCTTCAGAGTCTGAATTACTGTTCACTCATCTCCGCCGTCAGTGCGCGAATTAACTTTTTCTCTTCGGTTGGACGAGCTTATTCACTTCGGCTTGGGTTGGACGAACTTCTCTTCTTAGGCCAAACGGACCGGCCTTTCTTGCCCGCAAAGGGGCGAATGAACCGGGCCCGCCGTCCGCGCTCAAACTCCCTCGCCGTCCGCGGCGCAACTCTCTCGCCATCCGTGGCTGCAACTCTGCCTGTCGTTCACGGCTGATCTCTGCTGGTCGTTCGCGGCTGATCTCTCTCGCCGTCCGCGGCGCAATTCTCTCTTCGGCTTGGTCTGATTCCAACTTCTCCACTTAGGCCAAACGCACCGGCCTTTCTTGCCCGCAATGGGGCGAATGAACCGGGCCCGCAGCCCGCGCTCAAATTCCCTCGCCGTCCGCGGCGCAACTCTCTCTCGGCGTCCGCGGCTGAAAACTGATTTCTGTCGGTTGTCAAAAACTGGGGTGGGTCTGTCGGCGCCAGGGTTTTCCTGATAATTCTAAATACGTATCCACCCTTCTTATTTCTGATTAGGGATTTTCCATTTTCGGTAACTTACTTTCACTCCTACTCCCTTACTGTGCCTCTGGGGGCGTATACCCGCTTCCCCGCTCCTTCGTATGTCATGTGACCGCCCTCGGCCAATGGGGTCCTGGTCGGGCATCTTTCCTCCTCCCTCGCACGTCATGTGACCGCTCTCGGCCAATGGGGTCCTGGTCGGGTGTCTTTCCTCCTCCTCCTTCATGTATAATGTGACCGCCTTCGGCCAATGAGGCTCTGGTCGGTATCTTTCCTCCTTCCTTCGTGACGTCTTTAATCGGACGTGGACAATCCGTGGCTTTGTTCTGGGGGAAGAAACACCTTGCTTAAAGAAACAAAAATTTAAATTGCCCTTTTCGTACGTGACCGAAATGACGCTCTCGGTTTCTAACATCACCTTGTGTGGCTCCATTTTCAATTCTGGGATTGTCTGGGTTTTCGTATTAATGGTTTGCCTGTATATCCTTAGATAAACTCCCCACCTGTTACCTATCATATTTTTTCCCATTGTCTCTAAACTTTATTTCTTCAACCAAATTGATAACAAACTCCCATTTTTCGTGGACACGGAAGTAGGTCAGGTGCTTGACCAACATCTGTTATGTATCAATCGAGCGTGTGTTTATTCGCTTATGACTGGGTTTTCGTATTATATTTTTTTTTTTTCTTTCTTTTCTTCTTCTTTTCTTTCGTTCTCCCAGATCTTGAATGTAAAGAAAGAATTATTCCTAATCCCGAAAATATTTTCAGCCTTAAATAATTATCAAATGGTTGACAAACCGTAAAAAAACAAATCATATATTTATGAATATTTCTTTTCAGCTTTCTAACTATATGCATGGTGCCACAATCCTCCCTAACCGATTTGTCATTTACCCGTAAATGACACCTAAACCCAATTACATCATTTAACATGCACCATGCATTTGTCTCATGCAATTCTATACTACTTTCTTACATGCAGTGTAATGTTCTCTTCCAACTTTTTTTTTTGTTCTATGCAAATGTAAAGTTCTTTTTTCATCTTCTTCTGTTCTACATGCAAGGGTAATGTTCTTCTCATCTTCTTTTGTTATACATGCAAAAGTAATGTTCTTTTCATCTTCTTTTGTTCTACATGCAAAAGTAATGTTCTTTTCGTCTTCTTTTGTTCTACATGCAATGTAATGTTCTTTTCATCTTCTTTTGTTCTACATGCACAAGTAATGTTCTTTTCGTCTACTTTTGTTCTACATGCAATGTGATGTTCTTTTCATCTTCTTTTGTTCTACATGCAAAAGTAATGTTCTTTTCATCTTCTTTTGTTCTACATGCAAAAGTAATGTTCCTTTCATCTTCTTTTGTTCTACATGCAAGGGTAATGTTCTTTTCATCTTCTTTTGTTCTACATGCAAAAGTAATATGTGCGTGTGTCTGTGGGTGCAGATTTGGTTACTATGGTTTATTCTTCTTGGTCAATGTTTTCCTCTCCGCTGTGGGAGGTTTTTCCGCCGCACGTGGTGGTCTCACGCCAGCCTCCTCCGTTGGTCTTTCAGCAATTTCTTCGCCAGTCCTGTCTGAGTGAGGAACAATGCTCGGCATCTCCCTCTCGAGTTGCTGCATGCTCATTAGATTGTCGTTCGCTAATCTCCTCTTACTCTTAACCTTCCATATTAATACACCCCCGATGGCTATGACTAGGAATGTACCCATCACTATTGACCAACTTATCGCGATCTGCTCATCGTCTTCCCAAGCCACACCTTCGTTTCCCAACGCACTTAACTTATCTCTCAATTGATCCACATCGATCTTTTCTATCGGCTTCATTAATACTGGCATTTTATTTAAGGTAACATTAGAGAATCCCTTCACTATCGGCTCCCATAATTCTGTACAATTGACTAAGCCTCTACCAATCATCTCTTTGATTGAATCTTTCTCTTCATATCTTTCTTCTTCCTGGTAATAGGGGGGTAGGGAAATGGATATCCCAACCGCCGAATATCCCATGGGTAGCTTTAACGGGGATAACGGTGGCCTTATTCTCAATGTCCTTGTGGACTCTCCCCCACATACCCTAGACAAGCTGATAGGTTTCTGTGTGGCTACTGCCCACACCCCGTCTGAAACACTGATAGCTTGTGGTAATGCCGTGTTTGTTAATACCTCCACTTGGCAGGTTCTTTTGATTCCTTCCCCCTTCCCTTCAAACAATTCTAGTATGCACATTCTGCGATTACCTGTTTTATAGATAGGGCTTAACGAGGTACAAGTCCCTAGAGCATCATCTCTACACCTTCCAGATTCTTCAGCTGATAGCAACATAAATTTCGTTCTCCCCGAATTTAAAGCTATGTAGTCTGCTTCCACCTTGTACCTTGCTATCATTCCCAAACCTTGATCTCTTCTGGGGTAGGGAATGGGTAAGTTTATAACCTGGTATATCTCGAATATACTCTCGCTATCTAACAACGGAACAGATATCACAACCAATAGTCGTCTATCTTCTAACAAGTTTACACATCCTAGTGCATTATAATACTTCCACAATTCTTTACTCAATTATCCTATAATTTCTTACTAAGTTCAGCTCTTCCCTCCTCTAACTAACCTCTAGCAGACAGAATGGTCCGGTCAGGTGTGCGTGGCGCTCACTCCAAAGGTCGTACTTCATGGCACCACTGATGGCCAATCAACAATGCCAATAATCTTCTTCCGTCCCTCGCGAGGTGCAGCCCGCGACTCCATCCCCTCCATCCACATCCACCGTAGTCAGCCAGCAGGTTTTTGGATGAGCCAGTGTCGTCATCTGTCGACACTGAATGCTCCTATTCTGCACAGCCTTCTTGTTCTACTGAGATTTGGGGTTCTTCACCCTCCTTGATCTCATCTTCCGAGGTGATTCCTGCTCAACCTCTAACCTTCTCTCTGTGTTTAACTCCCGTCCAGGAGGTGTTTTGTCCTCTTCTTCATCCCCTGATTCTTCTTTCTGTTTAGAGTCTTCGCCTTGAATGTCTTTAATACCCCTCGACTCTATGTCTAAATCTCTCCTGTTCCTTATCCTTTCCTTGAGCTGGGAAAGGGGTATTTGATCCTCCTCCTCCCACTCGCTGGGCCCTTCGTCCTGTTCAGGGTGCCTCTTTTTAGAGCCCTCGACTGCTTGATTGGATCTCCTCGTTTTTCTCTTCCTTTTCTTTGGACATGGGGGTGCGATGGCGACCTCACAGGGTCTTCTCTGCACCGATTCAGTCGACGACTGAACATCGCTAATCCCCGCTGAGGGTTCCAACTACGTCACTCGGATCGCTTCGTCTATCTGGCCAAGTCGACTTATCTCCTCATCTTCTTCGGAATCTTCTTCCGTCTCCATTTCTTCAGGTTCAACCAGAGTTACCTTCCTTGTCCTTGTCTTCTTAGGCCTCGGCTCGCTCATTTCCAGGTTAGCTATTTCAGCCTTCTTTAAATCATTGGCATGAACCCTCCTCGCTCGTCCTGCCACTTGATCCCATATTACATATGATACTGGACCGTCTATCCGGTAGTACGGTTCCCATCTCTGGTCCAGTTTTCCTTCTCTCTGATGGATTTTATAGTAGACAGGGTCTCCAACCTTCAATTCTACTACCTTTCTTTCAGCATTCACTCTCTCATTTCTTTTCTTCTGGGCCCTCTTTATCCTTCTTCTGGCCTGTACAAATATCTTATGTTGTTGTTCCAGCAATAGTTGATGATGATCTTCTCCCATATACTTTCTTCGGGGCTTCAGTAGGTTATCCACAGGCAGGACCACGTCTCTGCCAAACAACAAAAAGTAAGGAGAAAATCTGGAGGTTTCGTTTATCGTAAACCTCACGGCCGCCAGAGCCTGCGTCAAATACAAGTCCCAATTTCCAGTGTTCTCCCTGACCAGCTTGGCCAATACATCTCCCAAGGTTCTATGAAACCTTTCCACTTTAGCATTTCCTTGGGGGTGATATGGAGATGTTTTTACGTGCTCTATATGCAAACCTGTCAGAACTTCTCTCATTATGCTGTTCACATTCTCCGTGCCATTATCTGTTACCAATTGCACAGGGGCGCCATACCTAGGGAAGATTTCACTTATTATCAACCCGGCCACAGTTCTAGCCTTCTTGTCTGGTATTGCAAATGCTTCAGGCCAATTTGTTAGCCAATCGACAACACTCACTATATAGTTGTTTCCTTGTGCAGTTTCCCCATATGGTCCTGATACATCCATACTCACCTTCTCGAAGGGGAAGTTTGATACGTCCGTTTCCCCCAAAGGTGCCATTTCCTGCCTTCTGCTCTGCGACTGGCACACTACACAGCTCCGAACATAGTGACCTCTCCGTACAGTTTGGGCCAATAGTACTTTATTCCTATAAGATCACATGTCCTATCAATTCCCATGTGACCCAACCTCTCGTGGCACTGTTCCAATATCTCTGGTCTTAAACTTTTGGGCACATACAACTTGGGCTTGACTTCCTCATCCCCTGCCTCCCTGAGAGATAATACAGCCTTTCCTCTATTATGGCATACTTGGTGGTCTCTCCTGCCTTCACCTTTTTCTCTCAGAGCAGCTATTTCACTGTCTGCCTGCTCCTTCTCAATTCCTTCTGTCCAGTAGGGATCGGTTATTATCTGGGCGTCCCCCCTTCGTCCGATTCTAACATAGGGCGATCTTTTTAGCTTATTAGAGTTAATTACTCCTATTCTATAGGCTTTATCATCTACTCCCTGCTCTACTTTTTACAGATCTTTCTTCCAGTTGTTTCGGTATTCTTGAGAGTAAATCTGCGCACGTGTTTTCCTTCCCTGCTAAATACTTTATCTTACAGTGGTAGCCACTTAACTTAAGTGCCCACTGTTGAATTTTCTTATTATTTGTCCACTCTGCCTGCAATAGGTACTGCAGAGGTTTGTGGTCTGTTTTTATAGTAAAGACCGCACCATTCAAATAGTAGTCCAGTTTTTGGAGAGCATACATGATGGCATATGCTTCCCTTTCTATTACTGGCCATGTTGTGTCTCTGAGAGCTTATGGGAGAGGAAGTATATCGGTACTTCCTCTGGTATGCCTGGCACTGGTCCTTCCTTATCAGGACACGGCTGGGTAAGTACTGCTCCTACACACTGCTCACTGGCATCCGTGTATAATACCATGGGCTTGCTGAGGTCTGGGTACGTCAGCAGTGGGACGGCTGTCAACTGTTCCTTTAATGTATCAAATGCCCGTTGACAGTCCTCTGTCCACTTGAACCTAGCGTATTTCTTCGTCAGGGCTACTAGTGGTATGGCGATTCCTGAGAATGCCGGGACGAAGCGTCGGTAGTAGCCTATAGCTCCTATAAAACCTCTTACCTGTCTCACTGTCTTAGGTTCCGGCATTTCCCTTATGACATTTACCTTATCCAGGTCGGGTTTAATACCGTCTCCGTTTATGACAAAGCCTAAATACCTAGTCTCTTCCTTCAGAAACTGACACTTTGACAATTTTAATTTTCAGCCGTGTTTTCTTAACCTTCCCAACACTTGTCTTAAATGGAAAAAGTGTTGTTCCACTGTTTCCGAAAATATTAAGATGTCCAAATACGCCATGGCAAAGCTCTCGTATCCACCTAACACTATTGACATTAGCTGTTGGAAGACTCCCGGGGCATTAGCTAATCCGAATGGCATCACCCTGAACTGGAACAGTCCCAGGTGAAACGCAAATGCGGCCTTCTCCCTGTCAGCCCCATCAAGGGCCACCTGCCAATACCCGGACCTCAAGTCCAACGTAGAGAAGTATTTTGCCTTCCCTAATAATGCCAATATGTCATCTATCAGTGGCAATGGCACCGCCAACGGCTTCGATACAGAATTTAATTTTCTAAAATCTACACAGAAACGGTATCCGCCATCTTTCTTACCCACTATTACTATTGGGAAGCTCCAAGGGGAGATCGATCTTTCGATCATCCCAGCTTCCAACATCTCTTCCACCGCCTCTTCTACAAGGGGTCTTTTATGTATAGGTGTCCGGTAGGGTTTTAATTTCACAGGGGGGTGATCTCCGGTGTCGATTTTCATTTTGACTGTGGGTCTGGCCTAGTTCCTTGTCTGACTGGGCTACCACATCTCGATTGTCCCTCAACAGACCCCCCACTCTGGTTCTAAATTGATCCGGTGCTAATATATCTTCGTCTATGATTCCTTCTGTTTGCTCTACAAGTTTCCTTCGTTCCTCCTCGAATTTCACCCGATTCAGAGTCCGTAGGGGAAGCGCTCTCCCTATCTCCTCCCCTCTCCTAACCTTTATAGTCTTTTGGGCCTGGTTCACCATCATAATGGGCACCAATTCGGCTGCCTCCACCACCGTTTCTTCGCTCTCTTCTAGGCCCTTTCCTTCTACAGGGACCAACTGCAGAGGTCCTCTCCATACCCTTTTTCCTGACATTAACCTACCCTTTCCCGACACCGCGGTCCTAGGAGGTAGCTTTACATCTTCCTCCACCACTATTGTTATCTCTTCCTCTGGTGGGCATCCCAATGGCGTTCTCTCGCCATTCACCACCAACACAGTGGGGTTAAACTCGATCTGGGCCCTCTGGCTCCGGAGCCAATCTTCTCCCAAGATTGCCTCAGTACACAGGTCGGGGGTTACGTAAAAAATTTGGGTGCTTCTTACTTTCCCAATCCTCACCGGGAGCCTCACAATCCCTTTTATCTTCAAGGGGGCTCCATCTGCTTGCGTGACCTCTATGTCCGCTTCCCGTAACCTTCTCTTCCGTTTCACCCGCCTGTATATTTCCTCTCTCATCAATGACACAGATGCCCCTGTGTCCACCAGAGCTCTCATCGCCCTACCCCCTATTTCCGCTCTACAGGATAGTTCTTTCTCTTGCGTTAGCGAAGAGAACACTTGAGCTTTCCTCTTCCTGGGTCCCCACCCTTGGGTTAACCCAGCCATAGGCGCCGGTAGTAATAAATCACCTTCATTTTTCTCATGAGGTGGAGTCCTGCCCCCCTGCACCTGGGCGACCCCTGGCCGGACCTCTCCCAGTCTCCGCGGCTGTTTCTAAGGATACAGCTTCTCTTCAGGTGTCCTGGCCTCCTGCAAAACCAGCACCTTCTTGTCGGACAGCTTGCCGCAAAGTGGCCCGCCCGACCACATGTCCAACATTTTGCTCTTTTCCTTTTCAACTGGGTTGGCCTTGTGTCTACTCACGGGGGGGGGACCGTCCTCTATCCAAGCGGTTCGCCCGACAACTGGTCCAAGCTTTTATTTCTCTCCATTTTAACTGGGCCACCTTCCTTCTTAATTCCGGGGTGGCCCGCTGGCTTTTCTTGGGCTCGGCCTTCTTTGTTAATATCGGTGGGGCACCCTTCCTCAGCCCGCACCACTTCGCCAGGTGTCCTTTCTTACTACACCTGGTGCACCTGTCACGATCGAAGTCTGGGGGCAAACCCCACTTCGTCGGACATTCCGCCGCCCTGTGGTCCTTATGCCCACAGGTCCAGCAGACCAGCCCGTATTGACCCGGCGTGGGCTTATAAAAGCCATGCCTGGTCGACCATGCCTTTCTATTGGGGTCTTCTTCCCATACTTCAGCCTGATCTACTTCTAATTTAACCTTCTTATTCCACGCGGGGGATCTTCCGCCTAACCCCCTTCTTCCGGCCTCCTGACTTAGTATCTGTTTCCTTCCACACCTCTTCACCTTTTCCCATACGCCCTGGCTCTCCTTGGCCAGCTCTATTGCTGCCGACAGTCTCAGCGGTCCCTCTTTTAGCACGTCGTGACGAACACGCTCGTCACTTAGCGCCTCTACATACAGGTCCGCTAGTTGGGCCTGCATAACCGCATTGTCTCTGACCACTTCCAGGAAGGCCAATGATGACAGCTTCCCTGCTCGGGCCTCCAATTCTCCCGGGGTTTCGTCCCGCAGCTGTGTCAGTTTTAGGAGGGCCCTCATGGCCTCTATAGCCGTGCCCTCGTCGGCGAATTCCTTGGTCAATAGTCACTTTAACCTTTCCCGAGATAAGTGGGGTTGACTCTCCAAGAGCTCCTTCACGAATTCAGACGCTTTCCCCTTTGTGGCATCGTATGCCAAATACAGGGTTTCGTGGTCTGAAAGTTCGTAAATAACTCGGCTCTTCTCCAGGATTGCCAGCCAGTTTTTAAATTCTTTCCCGCTGCCGTCAAATGCTGGGACCCTCGGTCCACCTAACAGCCTTCTTAGGTCAGCTGAAAACCCTTGTCTCTCCCTCTTCATCCCCACTGCTCTATCTGAATCATAGTCCGACATATTTAAAGAGAAAGACAATCTACGCAGCAACAATCGAGGTTGGGAAATAAAATAAAGTGTCCTACCTTACAGACGATTCTGTTCTCGTTCCTTTCGGTCCCGGGTCGTTTTGAATCCTATTTGAAATTTCTCAGCAACAGCGGTCGATCGATGTGACGTGACGTGGCTGTCTCAGGGTTGATCCTTTGGTCACGGCACCATTTGTGACGTGACGTGGTCCAGGGTTGTGATCCTATGGTCACGGCACCAGTTGTGACGTCGTCCCCCCTGGTCGCAGCGTCGACTGTGTCGTTCGATCCCGTTCGCGGCGCCAGCTGTTCGCTCCTCGCTGCTCCAAAGTGTGACGTTCTAACCCTTTGGTTAGATGAATACCAGCCTCGTCGTTCCCAACCCGCTTCCAACGCCTGGTTACCAGTGTAACTGCACTGATCTCCGGTCTGCCTACCCACGTTGTGATTAGATCTTAGACAGACGGGATCAAACAGGGATTGGGCCGTATGCAAGCTGAGTCCAACGGGGTGATAACACACAAGAAAAATAAAACTCACAAGGTCAAAAATATTGAAGAAAAAAGGTAACAACTTTTTATATCTAATTGCTCGTTACACAAGATTATTCCTACCTCCCGACCCGTTCTGTGGACTGTGGCACCACGCTTCTACCAGGCAACTTTAAGGCTTCGAGTTGCCTGCTCTCTAGAAATTTGCATTTCGGGGTGTGGTTTGGTTTCAACACGGGGCGCTCATCTCTGCTTTTCGTTCACGGCTGATCTCTCTCGCCGTCCGCGGCGCAAAAAATCTCTCCAGAGTCTGAATTATTGTTCACTCATCTCCGCCGTCAGTGCGCGAATTCTTCTCTTCGGCTTCGGTTGGACGAGCTTATTCACTTCGGCTTGGGTTGGACGAACTTCTCTTTCAAACGGACCGGCCTTTCTTGCCCGCAAAGGGGCGAATGAACCGGGCCCGCCGTCCGCGCTCAAACTCCCTCGCCGTCCGCGGCGTCAAAGCCATCCGTGGCTGCAATGAACTGTCGTTCACGGCTGATCTCTGCTGGTCGTTCGCGGCTTCTTCTCCCTCGCCGTCCGCGGCGCAACTCTTCTCTTCGGCTTGGTCTGGACGAACTTCTTCTTAGGGCCAAACGGACCGGCCTTTCTTGCCCGCAAGGGGGGCAAATGAACCAGGCCCCCGCAGCCCGCGCTCCTCGCCCTCGCCGTCCGCGGCGCAATCTGATTTCTGTCGTTGGGGTCCCGCTTTTATTGTCGGCAGTCAAAAACTGGGGTGGGTCTGTCGGCGCCAGGGTTTTTTTGATAATTCTAAATACGTATCCACCCTTCTTATTTCTGATTAGGGATTTTCCATTTTCGGTAACTTACTTTCACCCTACTCCCTTACTGTGCCTCTGGGGGCGTATACCCGCTTCCCCGCTCCTTCGTATGTCATGTGACCGCTCTCGGCCAATGGGGTCCTGGTCGGGCATCTTTCCTCCTCCTCGCACGTCATGTGACCGCTCTCGGCCAATGGGGTCCTGGTCGGGTGTCTTTCCTCCTCCTTCATGTATCATGTGACCGCCTTCGGCCAATGAGGCTCTGGTCGGTATCTTTCCTCCTTCCTTCGTGACGTCTTTAATCGGGCGTGGACAATCCGTGGCTTTGTTCTGGGGAAGAAACACCTTGCTTAAAGAAACAAAAATTTAAATTGCCCTTTTCGTACGTGACCGAAATGACGCTCTCGGTTTTTTTTACACGCGGTATTTGTCAAACAGTTTATCGCTAATTGGATACGATCTAAGAAAGGGATTTCCCAGACTGGGTGGCGTTTTCGTGAACTAATAAAAATATTTCACTTTTTTTTTTCGCTCGGAGCTTGATAACAAAAATTTTAATTATCTCAAAAAAGCATTTTTCTAACATCACCTTGTGTGGCTCCATTTTCAATTCTGGGATTGTCTGGGTTTTCGTATTAATGGTTTGCCTGGATATCCTTAGATAAACTCCCCACCTGTTACCTATCATATTTTTTTCCATTGTCTCTAAATATTTATTTCTTCAACCAAATTGATAACAAACTTCCATTTTTCGTGGACACGGAAGTAGGTCAGGTGCTTGACCAACATCTGTTATGTATCAATCGAGCGTGTGTTTATTCGCTTATGACCTGGTTTTCGTATTATATTTTTCTTTTTTTTTTCTTTTCTTCTTCTTTTCTTTCTTTCTCCCAGATCGCTTGAATGTAAAGAAAGAATTATTCTCAAACCCCAAATATTTTTCAGCCTTAAATAATTATCAAATGGTTGACAAACCGTAAAAAACAAATCATATATTTATGAATATTTCTTTTCAGCGCACTACGGCCCGACGCCCCTTGATTTCGTCTACCGAAGATCAAATCACAACGTGGGTAGGTTAGACTAGAGATCAAAGCAGTTACTTCAGTAACCAGACGTTGGAGGCGAGCTGAGAACGACAAAGCTGATATCGAATCTAACCATACATCAACCGCGACCAAGACAACCAGAGGGGTTAGTGTCACACATAGTTCCGTGGTAAACCAGGTTTTCCCCCGAACTAGCCAAGGGTTAGAGTGTCACATACGTTTCTAGTGTTATAGGGAAATATTATTTTCCGAACACAGCACATTGTGGCAGTGTTTTTAGTTAATATCATTGAATGTTGGCTTTTAATTTTTTATTGTTAAGACTTCCATTATTTTTAATCTTTTTTACATATGGATGAGATTATTATGCTTGTATTTTCTACTAGTATGTTTCAGATGGAGATCGCTAAATTTGTGTGTGCGTTCAAATGGGTTCTAATGGAGCTGTGGTCAGATAGGTGAAACGTAAGGCGTTTGGAAACGCATGTAATAGTGTACATTTATACGTTATACATTAAAAAGTGTCCTTCATGATAGCATCATCCCTCAACTTTATATATATTCTGATAACAAAACCATATACTCCTGTCTCGATATTAAGTCTGATCAGAACGCTTTAGTTGGAAACAAAAAGAGAAAGGAAGACAGAATTGTGTAGTAATTTGCCAATAATAAATGTTTGTTATTATCAATATGGCCTTGTGATTTGAATTCATTTTCAATTAAAAGTTTTACTATGGGGATCCCGTGTATACGATTCGACAGGTAAACACCAAACCAATTGTGACAAAGCAAAGAACAGATCACAACGTATCTCCTTGTGACAGATTGTTGCTGGTGGGGTAGCATTCACAACTCGTAATTCCCGCTAGAACCAGTGAGGCTTGCATCAGGTAAATATAAAACGACAGCGACAGTGAATTCAGCAAAGCATGCTCCGAGCCCTTGTGACTTATCCTATTGTCAAAGTTAGAGTGTAATGTTGTGTTGCGTTTCAGTCCAGACCAGACATCATGTTTGTTTTTAGGGTGCATCTACTTCCAGTCAAATGCTTGTGGCATAAAATTACCCATTGACCAGGTCATTATCCAAGAGTGAAAAACAGAACAGTTTCTAGTATTAAACCAGATTTTCTTCTTGTGTTGTAACTTACTTCTAGAAGCAAGTAAAGTTGAGATGAGGCGTAGGTGAGTGGGTTTGACAGTCTAACAGGTGTCTTCCCTGTCACGTCGTTATCCGCGAGCCCTCTTTGTCTCTCTGTGTAACTTTTTGTTGCTACTGGTCAGTTTTATAGTTAATATGGTTATTTGTCCCACCGTCCATGTCTAACGTAGTAAGGTATCTTATTTCAGCGACTTCTTTTGGGTGGGGACGCATGTGAGCGCCAATTCATGATACCATCGTTGAAAATAAATGTTCCAAATCCATATTCTGCGACAAATTCAGCTGGTTTCCATTTAACAAGACCTCGACTGACTGATATTGCTACAGTTGTATTAGCTGCCTAGACTTGATGATTAAAGTGTGAATTTGGGGCGTCTTGTATGTTCAATACGAATAGCTGAAACGTAAACAAAGTGAAAACAAGACTAACATTAAAAGGAAAATTATGAACAAAAACGATATATCCCTAAACTAGTGGTGACCAACCTTTTTGAGAGTGCGTGCCAAAATAGGCCAAATCTCTGACGCAAAATTTTTCTACGTGCCAAATATATATATATATATATATATATATATAGAGAGAGAGAGAGAGATAGATAGATAGATAGATAGATAGATAGATAGATAGATACCTCTTAAGTGTGTGAAGAACTTTTTCAAATGAGAAAAAAATCACCCCAGATCAGTAAAGACACATTATTTTAAAAATTATGTAAATCATATAAAACTGGCTGAATGAAAAACATTATGACAGTTTTTTATGAAAACGTTTTTTGTGATATTTTTATTAGCCTGTAAGTATAAATGTAACAGCCATACATACTCAAACAGCCTAAAGACGTTATTAACTACTATTAGTATCAACACAAAAGTTAACACTGTTATTTTTTTCGATTAGTCAATCACCATATTTCCCGGTTTCACGACTAAAACTGAGGAAAAGATTATTAAATATAATCTTTTACTGATTTACAATCCATTATAAACGATGTATAAACAAAGACAAAATATTTTTGTTTACCTTAAAAGCTAAATTTAAACAGCCCTGATCTTTTGCCACTTTCCGAAGAAAGCATCAGATAAAAATAGAGACAGAAAACGTGTTGACTCTTTATATATATATACATTAGTGGGACGATATTCAGTAGTATATTTTTCATAATAGTAATATTCGTTGTGGGACTGCTGCTGCTACACTGATGACGTTTTTATATTGGGTTTATATTTAATAACCTTGAGAGATATGCATGCACTATTAGTTTCAGCCTCCAGGTTACCAGTGTTACGGAATTTAACAAAGTTCATCCCTGTTAACAAAGATTCGGAAGTATATGTAGATGAAAACACGGGTAGTATTGCTATTGCAAGGTTTTTAAAACAGACAGAATTTTCTGGAATATTATTCCAAGTCCTTAATATTTCGTTTTCTGCATTTCTCTCTGATACTCCCATTTCTAATCGCTCTTTTTTAATATTTTCCAGGAATATTATTATTATAAATAAATATAAAATAATAATAATGAAAATTATAAATAAATTTAAACAATAACAAAAACTTTTTTTTTAATAAATTTAAAAAAATACTCCCAGCATGCAACAAAATACGGACATCCCACCAAAAAGACGTTAAATTCAATCTTTTCCCCACTAACCTTGGTACAGGCAAAATGTATAATTTCTCATTGTGATATGTCTTGTAATGACACAGAGTAAATACCCCCTTTTTATCGCATGTAACATAAAACAATTGTAACTTAAAATACACGCATCAATACACACAAAAATATACATAAATTGTATCAAATTAACATAAAATTTACCATGTTTTCCTGTTATTTGTGTACGTTTTATTTCCTGGCAGTAATGTTTTATCTCCTTGGACACAAAGCTAATTTCTGCTGCTATGATGCAAGTGAATTCCCACAATACTTCCACCTGTAATAGCTTCTTTGCAATATTTCCAGGGCATCGCTAAGATTTAAAAATTTCTGCTTCCAAATTGAGCTACTCTGATATTCAACCATGTCTACCTATGAAAACATTTACAGTTTGATACTCTCTGAAAACTTAATGAATTTAACTGTCTCTTTCAAGGAACTGCTCAACAGTTGATTCGATGATTTTTACAAACAGCTTTTGAAAACATTGGCAGTCTTTCTTACCATCATTTGGGAAATCATTGATGTATATCTTTAGGTTTGGGAAATATCTAAATCTCTTGTTATCTATGTGCCTCTTAAAAACTTCTAGTTTCATTTTAAAAAAAATTATATAACAAAACATAAGATCAAGTATCTCACCAGAGAGCTGTAATTTAATATTCAAGTCATTTAAATGTTCACAAAAATCTTTAAAAAAAAAAATCAGTTTTCAAACTCACATGATAGATAATTCTTGGTAGGACACGTGTTGGTCATTCAAAAAGGGTTTCATCACATCTAAGCATTTAAAAAATCGTTTCAGAATCCAAACTAGACTAGGCCCATGAAAACTGGTGTATATTTTCAGTTCAACCTCTTTCAGTAAATTTGAAATTGTCTTTTATTTTAAGCCCGAGCAGAAATATAATAAACAATCTTGGTAACTGTTTGCATCACTTTTTGAAGTTCCTTTAGGTCAGTTTTAGCACATATCTTCTTCATGTAAAAGAGATTTAGAAATCCTGCCTTCTCCCCAGTCATGCTGGGGGTACTATTTTTTCCTTTTCTGAAAAATTGTCAAAAAGGAAAGGCGCAAATTCTAACCAAGCTTCTTTAATATATTCACCATCACTGAATGGCTTTCCATGTTGGGCAATAACTTTTCAAAATCTCAAAACTAGCAGCAACTAAGTTGAAACTGGGGCTACCTGAAATAAAGTTAAAAAAAATACCAGCCTGTTTTTTTGTCTTGTTCACGAGAAATTACTTATCTTTGTTCCTCCTCAGATTTATTGCTTAAGTTCTTATGTATCAATTCAAAATGTCTCTTTACAGAAGCAGTCATACGAACGATTGTTTCGGAACAGAAAATGCAGAAATTTTTCAATCCAGTATTCTTTAAATACTCTAATACCCTGTTCATTTGAATGACTTCGTTTGTTAGCTGATGATTACGACAATCTGTAAGGGGCAGAAAATAAAAATTCATGAGATGGGCATACACATGAAAGAGGAGAAACTATAAAATTAAGTCAAAAAGGGAATCTAAGCTTCCTGAAACAAGTCATTGGCATGCCAAGGATTGCCCATCCCTGTCCTAGACTATGTACACCACAGATTAAATAAAAGGTTCAGTTCGAAATTTTATGAAGATTACGCGGGTCGACAGACACCTGAAGAAAATCGGGGCAAAATATCGTGATAATCTAAAAAAAGATGAGGTTTTTAGGCTGAGTGTAAATAATATAAATAAGGATAACTTTTCTTTCAAGTACTTCAGACGGAAGTTATAATGAATTATGGTAAAACGCAGCTGAACAGAATAGCATATATTTGAAAAAAATCTAAAGTATCTATATGGTCAATTAGATAATAAGTGAATGTGACATATTAGTTCGATAGTGTATGTCATACGTTTATAATCCTTTTGAGTAGGTACAGCGATTTACTGGAATCATTTAAAATCACTTGGATAGTTTATGTAGGGAAATTATATAAACACAAACTAAAAATTATAGAATATGTAATATTCTTTTGAAGCATAAAATTCAGAGGAAACTTTCTCCTCAGATTTGTTACTGCAAAACCAAAAAAATGAATGTGTAAAATAAAATATATTACTATTCCAACATTTCAGAGAGTGCAACTCAATGATAATGAAAAGCTGTATAAATATCTGGCATCTGTCAAAAAGTATGATATGATAGTGACGATTGCAGTCAAAATAATCTTTTGCGGCAGTCCGAATGTTTGTGACAAATGAGTGAACGAAATATAAATTAACAGAAGCGCTGAAGTTGTCTCAACTAAAATCGTCAAAAATACATGCGAGTGTGGAGAAGGATTTCTCTCCCTGGATCCTCAATAACCAGATAATACTGGTGGAAAAATGCAATAAATCCATCTTAATGGAAGGATAGCGAGGGATAGAAATTAAATATGTATCGTTCTTACATAAGAGAATTCCGTATGTAAAATAAATATACTTCAATTCTTTCAACAAAAGAGAATGCAACGGGTGACAGAGCAGAAACAAATGCTCTGAAAATAAATTGCCGATAGCTGGCATTAAACAGCATTAGAAGCAGCCTTAGAGCACCTGGTACATGAAAAACAATTTAAGTCAGGAATAGAAATATCTCGAAACGTTACATATCTCCATTTTAAACATTAGTCTTCTACTTACGCCAATATCAAAAATTTACCCACACACATGCCAACTCCAATGAAAATAGAACTGATCATGGTTGTTTTTGACAGGGTCGCATCAAAATATTCCGTTAATCCAAGTGCAATAATACCATGGAAGGTATCCAGTCCGTAACAAATAGAATTAATCCTGAATCCGGCAAAGCAAACGCCCCAACCCCAACACCTATCAGGAAACTGTAAGTTTTTGTCATCAGGACCTCTTTCAGATTGAGCTTCAACAGTATGTCTTTCAGGTGTTTTTGTCTGTTCCATTCTGAAACAACAAAAAAAAAAAAATAAAAGAATCGTTTAAGATAATTGATTTTGTTTTTTTCAAATTTGCCAATGATAGGAAGTATCAAAAAGTATCGAAGTATCAAAAAGCGACGTCGCTACGAATGTTTGGCCGCCACAAGTCAGTCATCCTTGTGGTAACTTTTCTGACACCCCGGAGGAACGGAGCTCTCCGATCGGAAAAGTTCGATGGACAATGCTTTCTTGTTGGCATTTGCTCATCGCCGTAATAACTGTGACAGCGGAAACTGCCGCGCTCTCCTCATTACCCCCGGCCCGTCTCCCCCGACGCTAGTGCAAAAGCAGAAACCTCAGGATGTTGAGGCCGAGGAAAGCCACGCGAACGAGACAGCGCCATCCTCCCAGAAACCGCGCCGGTGACCCCCGAAACAACGTCTGCGTTGAGCCTATGATGGGCGCCGCTTCCCGAGGCGGGCAACAACCAAATCGAGTTTGTCTCATGTTCGGTAGCACCAGATTGAATCCGCTCGCCATCGCGGGGATTGGTTCAACCCGTTTAACCTGAGCGGTTTGAATTCTTTATCCAAATCTATTTTAACTTTCCCTCACGGTACTTGTCGACTATCGGACGCGTCCCCGTATTTAGCCTGGGATGGAGCTTACCACCCGATTTGGGCTGCGTTTCCAAGCAAACCGACTTCAATCATTTGGGGTCGCCTAAAACAATTGGTTTATGCAGCAGACAATAATACAGAGACTTTATCAACGTGTCATGGGAGCCTGTCAAACCATTTGACACCGTCTGGGAGTTTTTGAACGGGTCCGTAAGTCAACTAATCGGCGGGTACATGTGTGTATAGAAGCAAGTGGAGGACATTTTGAATGTTTGCTGTATTGATGTACAACTATGGTTTTTGTGCATATGTTTATATCGACATTTTATTTTGTTTTGGTGTGATTAAACCACTCCAATTTTTAAAAGTATTTTTAGATTGTATCTTGGATTGCACATTTAACAGGGTCTACTGTAAGCTTTAAACCTACTAACTAACTAAAAAAACGAAGAATTTTCGGATTATATATATTATATGGACTTTTGTCCTTGTTTTGGTGTGAGAAACCTTCCCCCAAAGCTTGAAAATGTATTTTTGATACACCCTATATATATATATATATATATATATATATATATATATATATATATATATATATATATATATATATCTGTTGTTGCAAAATTAGGCTGGGCAGTGGAAAACACGTGTCTCATGTTATATTTAGCATACAACAAAAAAATGGAGGATTATGAATGTGAGTCCGGGTAATTAATGATAAATTAACAACAAAGCTATATATATAATTAAACGATAAGTTTTTATTAACAAAACAAGGGTGTGTATATATATATATATATATATATATATATATATATATATAAGATTGTTGCATGTTACAAAACAAAGAACATGAATGACGAAAACATTTAAACAAGTGAAGGTGTTTGCGGAGAAGCTAGTGTAACACCCGTGTGTGTTAGATACATGTGTATATATGCGGCAGCGTTCTTATATGCGTACCACCTACATCTTACCGTCCCCAAAGAATGGGTGAAATAGGAAAACGAAGATGACAGAAAATGTCAGTCCTATTCATAGACTTAAGGATCGTTATCTAACGACGGTTTTTTTTAGGAAAAAAAGAGGATAACTCCACAATATATATATATATATATATATATATATATATATATATATATAGTGGAGTTACCATAATTTCCGATTTGTTACATATACCGAGATTATCCAGCACATGCACAAACACAGACGCACACACACGTACACACGCTCACACACGTACACACGCTCACACATTACGCTTATATATATATATATATATATATATATATATATAATTAATAATCAAATAAATCCTTTTATCCCTATATGAGATAAAAAGATTTGTTTGATTATTAATTATATTGTCTGCATAAATTAAATAAAATACATCGAGCTCTTTTTGTGGATCAGTTCTAATATTACTAGGATCCACTTGGATTATGTACCAACGGAATTTTAACTTACTATATATATATATATATATATATATATATATATATATGAAAAAAAATATACAGAAAAAACAAACAAAAATCTTAATATGCAATTATGCTGTATTAATGTTAATATAAAGTCAACGTCGGACGTTTCGGTCAATTTTAGACCATCTTCAGGACATTTTCATTAAACATAATTAACATTAGAACATATAAAATTCAACATGAAAAGACGATGAACATAAGAGTACAACTAATCCAAACAGATAACTGAAATTTTTATATAAGATCAGCGTTCCGTTTAAATATGATCACGTCGTCGTCACGTGGGCGATGTTGTGAAAACGTATTCGAAGATGATTTCCAAATATTAAAATATTAAAAAAGTCGATTGAACTATTTTATATAAACAGTTCAAGAAATCCCTTCCGTTGATATAGGAATACGCAGAGATCAATGGAAGGGATTTTTTGAACTGTTTACCACACTCATACATACACTCTCACTAAATTTTATTTTTTATTCCCGGGGTTGTTTTTTCTGTTTTCTTTTTGAATTTGTAGGTCTGATGAATTGGATCGTATTTACGATTCCAATGGAATAAATTATGACTATGGAATATTAGTGTTTAAGACTTTTTTTATATATATATATATATATATATATATATATATATATATATATATATATATATATATATATATATATAGAGAGAGAGAGAGAGGTAGAGAGAGATATAATTATAATACAATTGAAAAATAGGTAAGAAGTAAGTGAAAAAAATTATATAAATAAAGGAAAATATTAGAGATGATAATGCTCTCACGATTTCAACGTTTTCTTTTACTGAAAAGGAAAGTCTTGCCAATTTTGAATTCTTTCAGTTGTACCCTTATAATTTTTTAAATAATGGCATATATTGAGTGTTATTAAAATATTCTGTTAACATCTTTACGATCAAATTCGTCAAGATGCAATAGGAATATTTTATTTTTATGAAACTCACAAGGGCTTATTCAACTATTGAATTCATAATTGTGAGTCACCGGAAAATTCATAGAGGAGAACCATAAAATATTCACATGTACTTCAAGTGAAGTTTGAATGACTTTGGGAATCACTGTGTTTTAATGGCCTTCATCTGGCCATTTCTGTTGATGCCATTGCTCAGAATAAGTTAATTATTGAAATTAGACTAAGTCATTCTATTATGTAAGTCAAAATTTTCACAATAAAAAAACGATATTGGTAACATTTTCAGAAAATATTTATATTTATGTGTGCAATATATCACGTGAGTTTTAGCTTATACGGCAAATCGCCGCGCACTATTTTCAAGACTAATCAAATCTTACCAAAATTAGGGGCCGACTTATATGGTGGGTAGAAAATTCAAGCCATTACTAGCGAGTTGTAAATAAAGGGAACTGCTTTGCTAACAATTACTGTACACCACTTACTTTAACTTCAGCAGGCTGCCCCAAATATATCGCTCTAAAACTTGTACTTGGTGAACATATTTGGCATATTTACACAGAAATTCATATAAAATAATAAAATAGTAACACAAATTCCGTATTATATTAACGCTAAAGCAAACATCGCGTCCAACAGCTGATGCACTAAGTTTGGATAATAACTATATAATGAGAAGCTTAAAAAATTATGGAAGCTCCAATGGTTTACAACGGTTTTACCAGTAACTGCCTTTTGGGATTATCCATTGTAAGAAGAGCCCATTAAAAGAATGAGAGTGTCTCGTGTGACAAATGTGTAACGGGTGCACAGTTTTGCAGATCGTCTCATGAGGTTGATGGAGTCACTGGTTGTTTGTTTACATCACAGATGTAAATGTTGGTTGAGTGATAATATTTTTACGATGACATACGATACGTAGCAGTACAAAAAAAAACTACCTAGTATAATGTGTAATCTACGGTATTAATATTTTATACGAGTTGATGTTGACTTAAATGTGTCTCTCAGTAAAATTTTAAATGTTCATTAAATTATACTGATAGAATATCCGATACCTACTGGTGTGTGTAGAAAGTTATTTGCTATATAACGCTTACAGAATGATATTACGTTTAGTGTCTCAATATAGAGGTAAGTGGTTGTTATATAGGAATAAAGGGTTGGGCACCCCAGCGTGGTGTAATGGTTAGCAAACTTGTCTCGCTAGATCAGTTACGACTGAAAAGTGAGTTCGATCCTCACTAGGTGTCCCATACTTTCGGCCTTGTGCCACATCTAAGCTACGCTTATAAAATAACTATAGGAATAAAGGGTCTCTGCCGACACTTAAGTTTGAACATAGATCCCAAGTGAGCAAACACAAGCGATCCCATTATTGTATTAAGTAGATCACGTAACCATCGGAGAAACGCATAAGTGGGTAGTAGCGTGACATCTAAACGATCGCTATTTTTACTCTATCCTCTATTACTATACCGACAACTATTCTCTATACTATTTCTCTATTCAGATCACTTTACGGATTGGTATTTGAGCGAGTATTATCGAGCAAGTACCATTAGTGCGAGTGATATTCGAAGGCGTCTGACACCAGTATTGTTCGACGGCGTTACTATAGTTGTATCTGCGATTACAAAGTCTCTGCTACAACGAGCATAACGAAAGTGACAACGAGTGTTCGTTGGCATTAGAAAAGTGGCAACGGGCGTTCGTTGACATTACAAAAGTGGTATGACCTTATGTAATTTTGGCACAACTTATCGTATGTTGTAGCCTAGATTAATTTACCGGTCGGCCTAAGTTTTGGGTCATTGGTAATGTACGTCGTAATTTACTGTAATATCGTAATAATAAAGATATCGTTTTATGTTACATAATTCATTAGTGTCCGCTGTCCTGTTTCGTGTTGCTTCTGGCTTCAATTCTTCAAAGATCGCACCAAAGACCGGATCGAAAACGGACAATTTTTTATTTACTCATTTTATTTCATGATTGAATGAAAAAGCGAGAGTATGAGGGAGACAGAGGGGATGAATGTCAACTGTTTCACGTATCGTTCACATTCGTCCTCGTTTTTTTTCAGCAGGAGTTTAAGTTTATTCCTTATTTGCTGATTGTGTTTCCGGTTCCTTCAAAATTCTACTTGAATTCTATACTTCTAATATCACCACTTAAGCTCTGGACTTTATATTATTATTGGGCTTCTTATTAACTCTAAAGTCGTTCATTCTTTTTCACATCGAGTAGTTGCTTGCATCTTAGTGGCGTTATTGCTTTGTTTGGTTAAAAAAATACCATCACTACTAAGGAATCTAGGAGCGGCGGGGCAGCTACAGTCGTTTATTCTTTCAATCGTACTGATTATATGTGCACGTTTTTAGTTTAAATCAAAACATAAACAATGACAATCCATCACTGTCAGATTTTCACTTACACCGGGTCCAAACACACTCCCCGACCCAGTCTAAGTTGTCAGGGTTTATTTTAAGTGTTATAATAAATACCGGAAATACG